TCCACATGAGCAATAATCCGAGAATAATAGTTCCAAGCTCTGTACCTGGAACTGTTTTCTTAGATGGTAGAACTCCGTGATGGTCATTCTGTTTATAGCACACTAGCTTGTCTCAACCAGCACCAGCATTGACTGCACCGAGGCACTTGCTCGTGTTCCAGCGGAGTTCGAGCCAGGGGCCCTTGGGTCTACGAAAGGGCCGAGCTTTCGGAATGCCGTTCCGGGATGTAGCTTATGGAGGACGGAACATCCACCGAGTAATCCAGCCACAAGAGTTCAACTTTTGTGCCTTCGATTTCGACCCTGGAGCTATGCTGACTCAGGTGCTGTCGAGTACGGTGAGCCTCGAGGTGTTCCAGCCCCGTCTTTCCGACAACGAATATTGTGGACCCCATTTCGCTGATCTAGGGCGTCAAAAATTGGAAGTTCCAATTTTATCCAAGGGGGTAAGGGAGAGATAGACAAAGTTTCGATATTACAGTGCCCTCCTAATGCAACTTCTGTGTAGATTCACTTTGGACTTCCGCTCCGTCTTCGACCGCCTCAGATCGTTAAAACCGCAACTACCAGAAATAAGGGCTCAGCGCGCGGCCAATAGCCGTTCGATGACTGCGAGAGGCGCCGGTCAGCCAGAAAGACGATGCGAATACCTCGTGGGACTTTTCGAGCTCCTCGCGAAGAATTCTCTCTTCCAGGCAGTTCGACTCTAGCTCCTAACCCGGATGCGATCGACCGAGTCGCCAACTTATTCATTGTGAACCTCAACGGAGTTTCCAGTGAACCGGATGAGTTGGTAATTCTACAGCTCCATATCGCACTGCGAGAGCCTACGGGAGGAGAACGAAAGAGTAAAACATTGACTCTAGCGAGTGGCGGAGGTGTCGAATTCCTCGAGCTTTAGTCACCCTTGATGGCGATGTGCAAGCAAGGCGCCTCCAACTCTCTGCGAAAACATTGCATACGAGCGACAACACCCGCACAAACAGACGCGGCAGCCCTTTCGAACGAGCTTACTTTCCCCTAGCGCTTCGATCGGACGCTATTTTGGGATTTCAGGAAGAAATTTGCATCGGAATGCCTCGTGAAGAACGCGTCTGCGTGTTTGGTAAAAAAGATCCGGTGCGGTTCAGCTCAAGATCCAATGCTCATCTACTGTTTTCTTGTTCACAATCATGCGTTCGAATGATTATTGGAAATCCCGTTTCGAGGGATGATCTGATGAATGAGAGAGCCTCGACTCGGACCCGAAGAATCAGAAGGATCCATGGTCTTTGAAATGAAAGTCATGGTTTGAGGAATAAAAATGCATGATGTCGCAGTCATCACTTGCGCTCCGCTCACGGAACGCTTGGGAATACATTGGACGACTGCTATTTCGCGGGAAAAATACGAGAGACTGTAGTCCTGATCGGCGAGGACACGATTCCCACACGGCGGATTTTCTGCTTACGGATGCAGAGAAAGCAACTGAACCCCGCGTGATCTCACCGCGCCGCTCGCGGACAATCGTACGTCGGTTCAAGAGCGTCAATTAAAAGAGCAAGGCCATCAGGAGGGCTGTGATGCCGTTTCGATCAAACTGTGAACTAACACCTCACACGTGGGCATCATCCACATATCGCTAATCATAGCGGCATTGGAAACGCATGTACTCCGCTTTATTCCTTTCTTCGTCACCGACACATGGGATAAAAACCTTACACTTTCGAGGGACAATATTTGACGAAGAGCTCAATCTTGTTCCAACACAAGATAGGGATGTTGACCCTTGAGCTCAGAACGAAGGTTTGCCGAAGCTCGGACATGGGTGATTCAATCACCTTTCGTCTGCGAGTTTCACCCTGTATATTTACTGACCGAAAATTTCAACCCCATGTCCCTCGCGGGATCAGGGATCCGTGGAAAATTGCCCGAGGAGTACCCGGGAGAAAATAAGGAAAATATTCGCCAAAGACTCGCTCTGATCTTGTCTCGGACCGATCCTGCCTCGTTCCGGTGGAAACTGAGCGGTCGTGGCATCGAGCTAAAAACGAAAGCGGACCAGTTGTCTCACGGCGTGTCTCGAAGATTCCCGGGATGAGCATGCTTGCCAACGCTGTCGCCGCGGCAGTGCAGTATGCTAGTCTTTTCCACCTTAAAGGGAATAAACTCGTCGAGAGAAAGAAGCCTGGTCATGAGCCGGCGACCATTTCCTGTCATCCGCTGCTATGTTGACGAACGGTCGGACAGTCGGGCACGCTTTACGTGTGCTTCCAATGCGTTGCGTCTCTCGGCCGCTCGGAAGCTAGCTCCAGCGTAACGACCCCTTTCATTCAGCTGAGCGTTCACTTCGAGCGGAGGAAGACACCATGACGCAACGATCGTAATTAATATCGCCGAGCAAGTTCAAAAGGTTGCCCGAGCCCAGCGTGGCATCCGATATCCGATGCAGTGCAAGAGCGTCGCCGTTCCAGTTATTATTCCGACTGTTTTGGACCTGCTGTTACCAAGCAACAAATTATTGACTGACTGCGAGATTGTCGATCATCAGTCCGAACGAGAGCGGACCTGCGCTGCGATCTGGAGGAACGCGCTTCCCGACTGAGAGAACGTTCCCGGAGCTCCGAGGAAAATAGTCCCGGACTCCGGCTCTGAACATCTACAGTGTTTAGGTGAGGGAGGACGGCACGACGCACGTGTACGATGTTTACGTCTGGGACTTTTCATTGGACCCGGAAGCGTTGACAGAAGCGAGCTGAATTTTCAGCTGTGCCGGGCCCGTGCTAGGCAAGTTGTGTGAGAAGTTTCAACGTGGCGAACTGCAGCGGCGCCCGGTGAGAGGTGAACAACTTCAAGTTGGGGTCGCTTGCGCCGACCGATGACTCATAGCTTCTATTCACTGAATTTTTCTTTCAGCTTCCTCGATATCGCTTCGAGCGCTGAGAGGAAAATCGAACGCTTGCGCCGAACGATGTCACAGTACCAACACGCGATACGAAAGCGCTCGTAGAGCTGTAGACCCCGCCCTTACCTTGGCGGCGCGGCTGAAATCCGTTCGGCGGAAATGCGCCAACGGTAGAGAAGTCGTTGCTGAGCAGGCCGGTTGAACTTTTCAAGTGAGAATTATCACAACTCCCTCCCGAGCCTAGCACACACAGGCAACCTCACTAGTTTTGCACTGGGTCCACTACTCTGTCTGACGACCAGTCGTCGTGCTATATCTATGGGATTCTCTCCCTGGCAGAGCTGCCTCCTGCTTGCCTGCCTGCCACACGGGTGGACACGGCGGGAAAGGGATCGGTCTGAGAGAAAGGGAGTCGCATAGAAGAGGGGCAAAAACACAGGGACCTGCACGAGGAGCTCCAGCTGAAGAGGGACCGATTGAGAAAGGGTGTTGCAATCCTCACTGTGCGATTTCCACGAGCTTTTGAACCGCTCGCCGATTCTAACCGGCAAGGAGCGTCGTCATCGAATTCACTAATGTTGACTAGGCCGGCTCTGTACCATTTCATGATACTGACTTCTTGGAAATTGAGGCTTTTGAGCTTCGTATCAACCGACAGTGCTTCGCGAGGTTCATGTATCGAGCGTCTCCGATCTTCTTCACCCTAAATGGATAATGGATACTATACCACTACTTCAGAGAAGATGGAGTTCCAACCTCGGAGTTCTCGCCGTCCTCAGAGATCTTCTGACATTAAATTCATTGATTTGTTCCAATGTCTATGAGCTGATGTAGGGTGATGGAAGACTGACGCCTGGACTCTCAAACTCAAATGATCAGAGTGAGAAAATTTGTGAATCCTGACAAGATCATGATCTCGGTCATGCGCTCGGCCGTGGAGTCTCGTGATGTGATATGATTCCAATAATAGGCATAGGCATGGAAACCACCGGAAGCACTGACACCTTTCATGCTGTGGGGCTGCCCCGTCCTGTCGTTGACTCCTAGCCGCTGTCTCCGGCGAGTCCCCCGAACGGGAACGTCCTCGATTTATCGGAGGGCTAAACGGCCAAGTCAGAGCCGAAAGCTTAGGAAAGGGTGAACGATTGCACCCCGATTTGAAATTTCCCCTTCAACTCCACAAGACACGCCGCACCATTAGATGGACCATAGACTTGGATGGACGTGCAGCGGCCAACGTGCGCGGTGCGCACGCCCGAGCGGATCGGAACTAGCGCTCGGCTTCGGGTTTTGGGTTTCTTCTCTGAGGCCCCATTGCCAGGTAAAAAGCCTCAGGTTGTCATAAGTCTCCAATCCTAAACCATTCGAGCTATGAGAGCATCGAAGCATCGATTCATGCAGTCTCGGCGCAAAAGCGCCAACATGCAAACCTTGCCGTTCGCAATATTACCCGTTGGCATTGGATCAATTATTGTCAACACACTTCAATTCATCGATCAGGATCAAAGACTCATCATTTGTGATCTTGAACATGATCGAGCCCAACCATTCACATCCATGCAACCGAATCCCAGATCGACAACTGGCTGCTCGCATCGAGCTATGCCGTGGCAGCACCGGCAATAGCGAACCGGTACCGGAGGGCCAGCCGGCGCTTGTTCTATTGTCAGACGGAACAACAGAGCGTCGAATCCCACTCCGGCATCCCTCGTTCGGTCGCGGATTGTCGGACATCAAAACTTGGTCGGAGCGATTTCTACGTCTCAAATCAATCACGTCGGTATGAGAATACGACCGATTCTATCATATGTATCGCTGTCATACTTCGGAGAAAGAGCACGACAGAGACTTGTTGTTCGATTCCACCAGCGAGACGACCCGGATACAATTTCACGGAAGGATTCGTGATTGACTTCGTATGAGATCGCACTGTTCTGAGCATCCTGATTGTCTAGGGCAGCTCACAAATACGTCGGAAAATCGTAGCCAACCAAAGGCCCGCCTGAGATCACTCCTATGTGTGACCTGCATCCTTATCCTGACTCGACATATCCTACAGTATCGCTCGGCTATTGTACGATATGGCGACAAAAGACATTCGATCTCAACGAGCAAATTTCACGTGATTTATAAATAAATATATATATGTGTAAACAAGTATCCCTCTCTTCAGATGTTGGCTCATTTCCAGAGACTCGGGGAATGCTTGGAAACAGACGTGATATTGATTCCCAAATCCTTTAAGATTCCAACTTGGTCCTCATGATAGACTCTTGACGTTGATCTCTTCGTCCGCCTGGTTATTCTTCAAATCCTGTATTGTTCTAACCAGCTTGTTCCATTCATCCGGCTTGGGCATGGCAAGTTGCTGCAACGGGAAAAATGAAATGAAATTCGTAGGTGATAATCTACCGATCGGCAGTGTTGTGCCGGTCGTCTTACTTGACGGGAAAGAAAAAATCTCGATGGCATTCCGGGGCTGCGACAGTTCTCCCCGATTCACGGAAACGCCGCCGGCCGGAGAGTGATCGAGCGCTCGACTAAATTTAACCAGCCGGTGACCTTGACCGAATGCGCACTTGTATGCCCGCCAGTCATCAATCCACAGAGACCACCATCGCGGAGGCTCTCCAACAGCGAAATATCCGGAAAGGAAACCGTTAGCAGACAGAAGTGTACTCACATCTCCGACCTCGTAAACGTGACACCGTCCTCCGTCGTCTCCCACAACGATCTGATGACCAGTCTGGGACCAGACGAGTCTGTTGAGCGCGGGAGGCTCGTCTTTCGGCGACGGAGCTTCGATGATCTCAGAAACGGTGGGCTGCTCCGAATCGATATTGAGATTCCACAGGTCCAAACGACCTGTCCCATCCACTGTGGCGAAGACAGCTGGGTTGTAGGGAGACCATCCGACGTCGTAGATGTAGTCGGAGTTGTTTTCGAACGAATAAATTGGCTTCGATTCTTTCAGACTCCAGAGTTTTACGGTCCAGTCGAAAGATGATGTTAGGAACAAATGAGAAAAGTCAATAGGGCCTATGGTGCCGTTGTGCTCGATGCCGGTCACGGGGCCTTGGTGGCCATCGAAGGCTTCGTTGATCCCGGCCTTCGTACCGTGACGGCAGGCTGAGTACACCGTGCCCCCTTCGGAGCCGATCACAAAGTGATTGTATTCTCCGTTCGGGAACGACATGCAAGTTACAGCGGCGGGTTTCGTCTGCTTCGCTTGATTGAGGTCCATCATGTCCTGGGGTTGCGAAAGCATATCCAGGGACCACGAACAGAATTTCCCGTCTGTCGAGATCGTCACCAAATTGTGAGCGTTCTGGGTACCGACCACCTGCGGCGGGGAGAATAGAAACATTTTCGAACATGAGTAAATTCCTTCTTCCCGTTTTTTTTAATCGACCGAATCCGCGTTCCGAAACGTCTCTGGACTCTAGGCCCCTCGTGGTATTTTTCGAGGGGGGAAAAATCCTTATAGCCGTCAGAGCGCACTCCCTATCAACCTACCTGTATAGAATACACGGGATGCGTGTGGCTTTGCGCGCTTAAAGGAGACCTCTGCACGGGCGTCTTCTTGTGAGAGCGATTGTCCCAAACAACTATTTGCCCGGAATACAGACCCCCGATCACGAGGTTGGGATGGAATTTGGCGAAGCAAGTAGACATGACGCCGGATTGACTACGGAAGGTGTACTCCGGAGTGTCTTTCTTGAATTTCATGTTCCACACCATGACCAAACCCTCGGAATCCTGGCGGTCGTCTATCGGAGTGTAAGAAGCGGCGAAGAGTTCCGGGAACTGGCTACTCCAGTCGAAACTGGTGACCAATTTATTGCGACACCACTGATCATCGTAGAAAACGCGGCATTTCGAGAGTTTCATCCGCGATTTGTCCTCGCTGCGGCGGAAATCAGACGTTAGGACCGTCGATACAGAAATGAAGAAAAACGCTCGAACCCAGGAGGGGCATCGGTGCGTCTCGATATCGCTCAGTCGACTCACGCTTCTGTTTCTTCGCCGGCACCAGTGTAATCCGTGAAGATATCGACGTCTTCGGTGAGAGCCCTCTCCATGATTCGACACGAGCGATCCATGAAGGTTCTGAAGTCCGGGCTCAGATATATCTGTTGTCTCTCCTCGTCATTGAGCAGTCGAATAGCTGGAAGGAGCATGCAGGGATCATTGTAATCGAACCCCTCGTTGAGTAGAAGTACCTATAGTTATTCCGACTGAAGCGCCGAACACAAACCTTTTTTTATTTCTTCTTCTTTCTTACGAATCAACTCATCGAGCTCTTCGATCCCTCGAGTGGGAGCTCCTTGTCCGGCATTGTGCTGGGCAGCCATCTGTTGCGCCTTTTGATGCATGGCTTCTAAGGACGGTGGAGGCCCCTCGTCCTCGTCTTCCTCTCCGTAAGGTAGTGCTAATGAGGCGTTCAGCGTTATGCCAAGCAAAGCTTTTTTGTGCTGCATCTAGCAGATAAGATCCCGAATATTCATAGAATAATAATTCGAACCAATAGAACGACCCGAACCTCCTAGATCACGCTCGAATTCTCAAAAAAATATATATCCCGATAAAGACTGTGATAAGATCGGCTGGAGTGCCCGCCAGAGCGCACGAGGAAAAATTAAACAACATCGGACGCCAAGAACAATTCGTCTTACCATCTTCTGTTCCGCGAAGACAGGCCATTCAAGAGGTTTCAAAAGAGACAGAAAGAAAACAACAAATTTAGTTGCTGATTCTCGATAGAATTCCGTCCGATCGGGGGGAGAATATCATCGCAAGGGATCGCATGATTCTTCTGATCGATGGATAGAGGGAGCTCGAGTTTCAAAAAGAAACGTATTTCGAATCGTATGCAGAACCCCCGAGGGGAAGGTCTTGATTTTCATCGCTCGACTGCTTCGAATGGAAGAGAACGACAATGACGATGATAGTGAATAGGGGTAAATCGTGAGAGAAACTAAGAAATCTCGATACCGTGCTCCGAATGATTGAGCGTATTTCTGGGAAGGGGCCGATCCCTCTGAGGGTCGCTGAGCATGAGAGAGAATCTTTTCGATTCAATGATAGTGGCGATCGGAGATGATAAACGGGTTGAGCGAAAGGAGTATTCATGGTGACAAGGGATGAAAGTGATAGCGACATCAAAGGCAATGACCTACGGTGGGAGCGGGAAGAAAAACAGATATCCACACATTCTGACACAATCAATCGAACAGACAAACTGAACGGGCCTTAGAATGAATTTCGAGGAAGTCAGCAGGCAGAAAACCGCGAGAGTTCAAGAACGTGCAGATGCAAACTCATCGAGCTCCGTGCTGATCGGCGGGTTCACTGACGAAGCAAGGTTCACAACTAAACAATCAATTGTAGTCATCAAATGCCTGGTTCGGAGGATGGCGCTAACTCGGGCGCTAACTCTGATGATCATGTAAAAATAAACTACTGACGAATTAAGCCGTCAAAGGATCGGTGAAAACAACAGTTCGAATAAAACCAGGTGTTCGCCTGAATGAACGAAGGTTCGTGAAGACAGCAGCCAACTAAAGTTTCGAAGTCGCCGTTCGAATCGTTCGGGGTATTGGGTGGTGACTGGATGAACTTATGTAGGATGCTTGGTAGGAGTCATTATCCGAGTAGTTGCAGCTTGGGTAGCGGAGGGTTGCAGAAACGGCCAGCCGCGTCGATGACCGAAAAAATGCCATCGAGTCGTCGGGCCGCGGGCACCGATGCTCGTCCACGTACCTTGGAATTCGTCGTCCCATTCTATATTCGAAGAAAAAACAAAGTGTCCATCGTCTTAAAGAGAATATACAACAGGTCTTACTACGGTGTGTGTGAAAGTTAGCGACAGAGAGACAGAGAGAGGGGACAGACGGACTGACCGAACCAGTGACTGAACGACTGATCGAGACCTAGACAGACAGACAGACGAATAAAGATAGAGACAATTATCTGTCAATCGCAGAATCGTACCGCAAGTTGTCACGTTCCACTAGCGCTCCCGTCGCAGCCGCCTTCGCCTGAAGCAGAAGCCGTTGATGGCCCCGTTCATGACGGAAGCTCGCGAGCATTCGGAGAGCTCCAGCGCCAGCTCTTATTGCAGCGGTTATGGCGCGAGAAATCGCGTGGCAAGCGTGAGAGTGCTCGCAAACTGATGGCTGCCGTCTGGGCGGACTGCGGAGATCGTATACGCTCTGGTCCGTCCGTCCGTCTGTCTACTGGTCTTCGATCAGAATGATGGCGAACCCCGATCCTAGTTCACGGAGCGAATATCCTTCCCGACAGAGACTCAGCCTCGCGAATGTTAGTTCCTCCATGAGAGGAGCAACGGTGAAATTGGGGGAGAAGTTTGATTTCGTTGGACAACGAATCTGACTACAGAGGATTCGCGCCCAGAAGCGTGCTCAGCGTGCCTACTGGTACCTAACGTCCTATTCCACAGGTAGGCACCACTCGTAAGTTGGAGAGAGACACTCCGTAACATGCGTTAGTGTCAGCAGAGAGATTCAAATATTTTTCACGTTTCGATCGGTTAGTTTCATACGCCAAACTCTGTGGATAAAGGACGACGAGCTACGAAGCAGCAAAGCGGAAGAAGACAGAGGGATAGAGACACATTTCGTTTGACCTCCACCTCAAGTCTCGTAGCGTTAGTGTTGAATTCACCTTTCCACCGGATAGGGAGCCATGCTCCACGAACACTTTCATACCGGAACTACCTGAGCCCGCCACCAAACCGAAGAAGTACCTAGCTACTAGAATTCTAAAGATTTCGCTCGACACTCACCTTCGTCCCAATGCGTCAGCACTGCGCGTGTGGATATGTTGGAACGGCGGATCGAGATAGACGGAGGAGGGTAAAAGCAGCGTGTAAGTTACAAATTAAAGGAATGGTATCCCCGGGAATCTTTTGGTATTCTAAGAGTTAGTGAAATTAAGAATTTCCTCATCAACACGCTACTCACTGTAGTAGTCGATGGGTTGACTCGCTGCGTGAAATCGATTCAAGAAACTTAGAGTGAGAACTTCTCTACTAAAGATACCTAATGCAAACGGGCCATTGACCAGGATCGACTGGATAGATGTATGTATGATTCTTACGTTTCCGGCTTTTCCCTCCGTAATTGCCTGCAAAATTCATTGAGCATTTTTAACGTGACGGGGAATGTTCAAAACCTACGTTAACTAGTTTCTCTATCGAGGGCTACAAACCAAATCTGTCCTCCCGGTCGCCGCCACCCATGGTCTGTGTCGTCTTCGAGTACATGACACATTCTTTTGGCGCGATATTGCTTTGATTTACAGTGACCACCTGGAGGGCCAGAGATTTCCTGACAAAAAAAAGATCTTTAGATTGAGGCTCGAGACTTTCTCCCCAGGGCTTTGGGAGCAGCGTGTGGAGTCGCATTCCCGATATATCAATACTCAGATGACAGGTGCTCATACTTGGCCTTCCTGGTGGGCGTAGCTTGTACCGAAGACGCCAGAGAGTGAACATCCGGCGTATCCACCCCTCCATGGGAGCCCGAGGCCACGCCGAGAGGTCCATCTGGGAAATCGCGTTCGGAATGAATAATTTTCTGACACCTTATCGAGATCGGCCATGGAATCTGTGTGTCGGGTATTTTATAGGCTCACCTGACGACGCAGAAGCTAGAGATATGCCCGATGCTCCCAGCGAGTTAAGGATGTCATCGACAGAAGCATTTCCGCCCGATGCCTGGAATGGGAGACTTTGAAAAATCAACTCGCCCGGGAGGACGTCAAATCCGACACCGGTAAGTGGCGGGACTGCTGACGACCCCTGAGAGAATCACACGGAGAGAGTTCCGCACGCTTCGGCACCGCAGATTTCATCTGCCGGGGACTCGGCTGTCAAACGGGCGTTTCATCGAGTAACTGAACCGTTCCTTCCCTCCTCTCCGTGGGGTTTGCGGCACAGTCGAAAAGCACGGGGGCTTCGTCGAAGAAGCCGATAGAGACACCTACCTCGGCAGCGACAGCAGCCAGGGCCCTCTGCTCTTTTTCTTTCTTTGCTTTCGCTCGTTCTTGACGGAGTTGTTCCAATTTCTGTTTCTTCTTGTCGAGCTCAGCTCTTCTCGCCTCATATTTATCCATGTCGACTGAGGACGTGTCAATGCCCCTGCAGCCGAGGCCGGGGAGATCCTAAGTTTTCTAACAATCGGACACTCTCAAGGAATATAAGAGGTTCTTCAGACACTGAGTCAATCGCAGCTGCCTGAAAAACAGGGCGAGTTCCAGTCGCTAAGATCTGAGCGTGACTCGACCACGTTAAATCCAGACCTGAGACCTGACGCCGTTCGGTATATGATCCCCCAAACGGGCTTCCCCGCAGAATAACTCCCTATCATCCACGTTGGGCTCCTCGAAATTCGAACATGACAGGGGAAGACTTCGCTTGGTTCCAGTGTATCTCTCATAATTTAAATTCATCGTAATAGGACATCCGAGAACGCGAAGCCCATCCGCAGAAACGAGCCCACCGGATCACAGTCATCATTGGCTCTGCCTGGGCGGAGCTTCAGCATTCGGAAACAGCAACAGAACACCTTCGAACATGGCGGACAATGGTAAGGAATGTTTTGGTCAATATCTGTCACTTTTACCAGAGCTCTCCGAAGAATTTATGGCCCACCTAATAGCTGTCGCGGTTGGGGACATCAATGGATATGTTTTGGCACAAACTCCAAGCGAATCCGATCTCTAACGGCCGAAAACGGGCGAGCCGGTTTTTGAGCCCGTTCTAGAAGCCACGGATATTTCTGGCGACACATGGACTAGCGCTTTCCCTGAGGTCTCTTCAGCAGAACTCTCCGAATCTTTGAATTCCAGGAACTATCGGACGGAATCCGTTCGCAATCAAAACTTCAAACACTCCGACCAGAGGCTCTGAAGACCAGGCCAGAGGTATGTTATAGCCACTAGACACAGACAGCATTTTCGAAACAGCATGACGACGCCGATTCCCCAAAATCGATTGAGAGTGCGGAAAATTTACGATCCGGGCCCGGGTTGAAATTTTGGAGCGCGAGAGGTCTCCCGCCCAGGGCTCCTATGGTTCAAGCCCTCATGGCAGCCATGACCGGCTTCTCCCCGCGGGGGTGGTGTTGCGGAACGGCTGCGGTGCAGGGCATGCGATCATATCTGAGGTGTGGAGAGCTTCGAGAGGAATCGTGCCGATGCGGCATTGCGAGATCTCGACTTGAACTGCAGTAGCGGGTCTCAGAGCTCGGGTGGCGGCGTGGGTTCATCAGGCGGATCGGCAAACGCTGATCCCGACGGCGAGAACGTCATCGTCGGAATTTCTGTGTTCGATTTTTTTCCCAGCTGCTACGGAGAATGTCCCGAGCATGATGTCTTGATTGCTTTCTCGAGTCTAGATGAAGTCGTTCTCTCGCCGGCATTAATAATCACGACGACGCAATTTGTCTCTTCCCCAGAACCTCGACCCCTGGTAGCACCTCCGACATTGGTTCTTGGTCAGGAAGCTCCGAGGTCTTCAGGGTTCGTCTTGAAGCCGTCTGCGCTTTCGGCGCAAGCGTCGAATCTCAAAATATACAACACTCCTACCACGCTCAACAACGGTGAGTGCATCGGGATCGAACTCTCCGCTGCCGTGATACTCGGGGCCGAGAGCCTACGCTTGGGAGAGAGAAATTTCTCACGGCACTGTTATCCACAGGCAAAGCGGAAACTAAGGAGAGCGACCGTTTGTCAGGCGACCCCGCCGAGAAGAAAGATGAGGTCGATGAAGCAGGTGTCTCTGAGAAAGAAGACGCGCCCGAGAAAAGCATAGAATCGGATGTCAGAAAAGGGCCCGACGCGGAAAATCCGTTGGATGGAGAGTCGGAGAAGGAAATCGAACCTGGAAAACAAGTGGAGGCCAACAGAGCTCCCGAAACTGGACCTGGTGCTGTAAATACAGAGAGTCAGGAAGAGCCGAAAGTACCGGTCGAAGCCGAGACTCTCATCGAGAAGGAAGAAACGAAACTCCTTGACAAAACTTCCGATAACGAGAAAATCGATGGCTCCGAGGCAGCCAAATCTGACAGCGGAAATCATTCGACCGCCGGAGTCGTCCCGGATCAGTTCAAACGAGTTGTTCAAACAGTTTTCGGCCAGAATTTAGAGGAGCGTGTTACCAATGTGAGTATGCCCGTTTCTCCCCTCGGAACTTGTCAGCTAAGTACCTCTCTCCGGAGCGAAATTCAAGCGATTGAACTCATTCCAGGTTCCCGAGAGCAGTTTCGTATTCGGACAGAATCTCCGAGACAGAGTAACGGTCGGTATTTTTTGGAATTATTCCTTCTCTTGTGCTTTTTCAAAGCTTCGACTGAATCTTTCTGCGTTGCAGTGACTCATCCCTCCCCCCGGTTTTCAGAACGCAGAAACTGCCGACGTCGAGTCGAAAACGCCCTCGGATTTCGCAGAAGCCGCTTCCGTGAATGCGGAACCTGACAATAAAACCGAGAGTCCAGCCAAAGGAGAGAAACGCAGTCTCAATGAAACCGCCGAAGAGTATCAGCTGAGAATGGAGAGCGATGCCAAGAAGAGCAAGCTCGAGGAAGTCGAAGTCGTGACAGGTCGGTCCCGATATACGTCGATGTGCACCCGGTTCTTGTGCTCAGCATCTCGGATTCGTTTTCCGGGGCATTGGGATCGACCCGAATGCAGAATCTGATTTTTTGACATTGGCGATTTATAGGTGAGGAAGACGAACGAAACGTCGTCCAGATCAACTGCAAACTGTACATCTTCGAGGGAAATCAATATCTCGAGCGGGGTCGTGGCGTACTCCGACTGAACGACAAACAAAACCCTGAAGACGGGTCTCTACAGAGCCGAGTTGTAATGCGCACCCAAGGTATCCTGCGGGTAGTCTTGAACACAAAAGTCTGGGCGGGAATGTCGGTCGAATACGCCAACGACAGATCCTTGAGGATGACGGGACATGCTCCCGACGGCACCAGCGCCGTTTATCTCATTCAGTGTTCGACTCGAGAAGCGGAGCAGCTCTACAACGCCTTGGAATGGAGAGTTCAGGCTCTTAGGAACGCTGGCCAAACCGGGAGCAGCGGCCGGGAGGACAAATCGAGCGTGCAAGACGACAAGGGCGACAACACGGACAGTAACAGCAATACGATTGGTTGATGCGAATGACAGAGAACGGTGTCTCGGTCTCGTCTCGCCGAATCTTAATGGGGGAACATCGACAAAAGCTGCACCATCAACAGCATGCTCTAGGTCATCTTTGTGCACTTGGTCTCACGAAAATATTCGGAGACAGTTCTCCGTCGATACTATGGTTTCGTTCTCGATCCGACAATCACTCAACGCGGATCGTATCATGGAATGATTCGATCGAGACCGATCGATTGAAGAAACGATACTGATAGGGCGAATATGAAGCGAAGGTTCCGTGGCTTCTTGCAGTGTGTATACTGGGCATTGTCGTGCGTGAATAATCGTGATTGCAGTATGTGTAAAATAATAGTGAGTTGGAGAGTATTCCGTTGATGTAGCACGCTACACTTAATAAATCGATACATCCACGAATGAAGGATCCTCTCTTCAATGAGCCATGCCCAGCAGACCCACCAAACTTTTTTTTCGAAAAACCTCAAACTTCTCACCCAACAAGTGGGAAATGGCTTCATGCCACCCTATTTCCTCCGATCGGCACGATGCAGGACAACAACCGACAAGTCACTCCATCGCTGCCGGTCTCCGACTGAGTGAGACTCCCCTCATGCTCTCCACACGCCTGCGCTACATGTACGGGTGGGGTCTCCGCACTGGGTGAGCACGGTCTGAGTTGTCCGCGTGATAGCGGCCGACACCTGCGTCACAGGGCTCTGAACGCCGTCATCTCCATTGTCTTGCGAGCTGCGAAAGTCCCGGACGATTTGGAGCCAACGGGCCTCTCGCGTAGCTCCGCCCTTGTCGTCGTGGACCGCAGGTAGATCATTGGTCTGGGATACGACGGTATGGGACACGCTGGCCCTCTCGCACCCGTCGCTCGCAGTCCGTGCTGCGGGAAAAAAGGGAAATATTTCGTTTGAGACTCAAAAGCGCCCTGGTGGTAGACTTAAGGGCAAGGAATTTCAGCTTCCCCTCTGATTTACTCCGCTTTCGTCGTGCTTTCCCGTCTCCCCGAAGGGCATGGCTAGAAGCGATTCACAGTAAGACCTTCGATGCATTCCCGTCGGCCGCGGTGGGCATCGGCTAGCTCCTGGCCTTCCTTGAGTACCTCGCGGGGTTTCGCGAAGAGTGCTTCAGGTCCAGCACCTTGATTCAGCCGAGTGCATCCGCCCCTGATTTTCGTCTTTCGCAATATCTGATCGGCTATACCCGGACCGTGAGTTCGGCTGCTAGGACAGCCTCTGAAAATATGGTCAAAGGCATGCTCTCCTCGGATTCGACACGTCTTCGAGTAGCTGATTTCTGACCTCCCCTTCTCTGCGGGCAGTGAACTACGGCTCCTGCGTGAGGGTCTCCCGACCCGAAAGTTCATTGGGGAGTGCCTTCCAGGAGAACCCTGAAGCCCCTGAAGGAATACTCAGATTCAGCTGGATTTGATGCAGATTCGTTTATTTTTGAATAGATCATCCGTCGTTTCTCCCAATCATCGCATTAGTAATTCGTTTCTCTAGATAAATAAGTGTCCATTTTTTTTGTTTTGCATGTCGCACTTGGCACGTTTCTTTTGTAGTGGTCAAGATGGTCAAGGTCGAAAGAACTCGCTCATCGCTCTGATGTCGATCTGATGCTCTCGGTCCCGTTGCCGTGCCCAGTGCGTTCCCATATCGTGCATGCGCCAGCGTGCAGCTCGAATGCGGCTGCTCTTGTTGTGGTCGTTTGAGTGAAAGGAATAAATTAAATGGTCGTCGCCTCGTATGGGAAATGTACAAATAAATAGCGAAATGTTGGACGCTGATGGGATGGGGGCCGACACAATTACAACACACTGAGAATAAATAAGTTACGCTAAATTATTAGGCACCGCGAACCAGATATGGCAATAAGAGTCGGTCGTAGGCTGAACCACCAGAAAGTATGCCAACAGGCAGGCGATGGCAGGTAGAGATCATATAGAGAAGTAAAGCGGCTGCACCTTCGTTCGCATGAGATTTCACCCTCAACTGAAGGTCGGGAAGACGCGGGTTAGAGGATTCGGGTAGAGGTACGTAGGGAACTCAGTTCCTAGATCCGGTTCGGTCGATGTCCGCGAATCGAATAAATCGAAGTCAAGAGAAGATGATCCGCGACATCGGGCCGACCGGGTGAATGTGGCTGCCTTTGAAAGAGAGCGGACGAGGCCGCGCGGAGCTCGAAGTACATTGATTCTGAGTGCTCATGAGAATTGCAGAACTCTAGATTGGAATTAGGTTTGCTTAGCTCCACGAGATGTTGAAGGGCTGTCGGCTGTAGAGCCGAGAAGCTGTCGAGGACACGGACGGAGCGCGTTCAATAAGCTCGTCTTTCCTGCTCCGTCGGTTGTTGACAACGAACGCGCACACGAACAGAAGTGTCACTTGGGCTATGAGGAACGAGCCGCATACGACGGCGATACTGATCAGATTGGCACAGCCTGCAATTGGCGCGAGATTCGCGGAGCTCGTGGCAAGCGTGACATCCTTGTCCTCGTCGGGGTTGAATGTGAACTTATCGGAGATATGGATCTGTTGCACGACGACGAGCTCGTCTTCCTGGCCGGTGATGTTGCGAGGCTGGCGGATCGATCTCCTGCGTCGACGACGTCCGTAAGAGTCACTTTCGGCACGACCCTCGAACGGAACATTGACGGTGTCTTCACATTTCGCCTGGAAAGATGAAGCAAGAGCTTCTTATTCTCTTCTCATTCACGATTCCTCGATCCAGGTTTTTCTTCGTGGGAAGGCTCTTCCATCAAACAAAGTGGCTCGCTTGCTCGCATGCTTTTCTGGAAGAATTCTCAAAACATTCTGGTCGGCCACAACAACAGAAACAGAATTAAGGTTACTCACAGGCTCGCAGTAGGGAATGCAAGGCGTGACCAAGGCTTTGAACTGGACGATTTCCGAAGTGGGGAATTTGAAGGCGTCGAAAGGAGCGTGAAGAACTTGACCGCTGTTGTTAACTTTGAAAAGTGGTCCCATGATCGTTCGGTCAGTGGGGCAACCGTTGGAATCGATGAGGAGGATTTCCGAGTTGTCGACACCGTCCATGGCTACCAGTTCCCGGACGAAGATCTCGTATGGGGAATCGATATCAGCAATCTGGAATCGGAGCGCCAACGGGTCTCCGACTTGAGCGGCAATAACGTCGGCTCCCTTGCGGTCGGTAATATGCATCGTGACATTCGGCGATCCGACAGTGGCGAGTTGGCTTTCTGAGTGTTGGATGTCACGTCTGGAAAACAAATTTCGCTTTTAGGCCAGAGCTCAAAGAACTCTTCGAGTCGACCGCCCACGAAATCGCTCTCGATCGGCTGAACGTTTTTCGCGGAAGCCGAATACGTGAAAGCTCTTCTGACGTGAGTCGTCGACTGCATTTCTTCAGGGTCCGAGCTCCGAAGCCCCGGGAATACGGTTAGCGCTAGAGAACCACTCACCCATCGACTTCGAGGGAAACTCCGTTAGACACGCTGCGGTTCGAGAGGTCGTAGTGACAATTGACCGAAAGTCCGAGATCCTGATTTGTCACGATCATGTCGTGATGCTGAATGACAATTTCAGAGAAGAAATGCCCATCCTGGAAGAGAGGAAAAGGAATTATTAAAGCTCGCGTCCGAACCAGCGAAGACGAGTAAACGCTCCAGAATGCTTGGAATCCACGGCGGTAGCGCCTGAGCGAGCGAGCGACCAGCGCCGCTGTCTAGGGGGAGGAGTGGAAAAACGTGAATGATGATACGCCTGGCGCTAAATGGCGACGATTTTTTGTCGTGTGTGTTCGCTATCTACAATTATAAAAAACTTGCATGCAATCATCGCCGCCAGTCGACAACGCTAAGTCTCCATTCGGCTCAGGTGGCATTGCCCTCATGACTTGCCCCGCGATTGTTCTCTAAATCCTCTCGTTCCTGATTACTGTCGCGTCCGTTCTCGCGAATCTTTCCTATCAACAAGACATGTCTGCGACGAATTCGAGTTCCTGAGCTGCGTGTAAAGGTTCGGAGGAGATTTGCATCGTTGTGCGACGAAACAAAGAAAAAGAAAATAATATAGAGCATTTGAATTCGCATACGAGCCGTGAGCGAATGTTTTCGGAAGGCCCCGAAAAACGTCGTGCGGCGAAAGCTCGCAGAAAAATTCGCAGAGTTCCCGATGAGCTTGCATCCTCGTCTTCCAGAATGAAACGTCGCACCGTCGTGAAGAGCCGGGTAAACGGACAATGATTTAGATCGGTCGATCGAGAGCGGCCAGATAGAAGCAAAATAAAAAATAAAGAAGAGGGATTTAGACGAAACGATTGCAGTAGCGAACAGGGAGGGAAACAACCGTAGGAGTCAACAACAACGACTGCAGCAACAAGTATTATACAAGAATCCTTCAGAGTAGCTGATGCACTGTGGAACACAAGTGCCCGGAACGACGCATATAAATCAAGTGGAGCGTAACGACAGATTTTCCGGAAAATCTGGAAAGAATTCCGGAGCGAAATTCTCTGCGAGCAGAGAAGACATCCGGCACGCTCGCACGGCAGGGAGGAATAATCGAGTGGATAAATGGACCGATAAATCGTTGCATAATTAGGTCGGAGTGATGCGTTTTGGAAATAAAAAATAATGGACTGATAACGCGACCGCAGCGGGCCAATCGACGCTTGAACAAATGAAGGGGCGAACCCGTGAATCGATCTTTCGCCTGATCGATGAACGAACGCATTGATTGATAGCCGAACGCTTGATCGGATGCTGCGAATAATGTCACAGATTAATGACGGGAAGAGCGGTGTGAATGCAGGCGTCTCTGTTCAAAGGTCACATGGCACGTGTTGTCGGCTTCTGTCGGTGCCGACCACAGCGTCAAAGACGTCAATCTGATCGACGAAGACCTGTCGGGAGCGCTCGCAAAAAAATCTAGAACAGCTCATCGCCTGTTTATTCTCCGGTCGATAATTTCAGTTGGAGTGATGAGAGCACCGACATTTCATTCATCGCATCCCAATTCGGTCCGTGCGTGTACTTGTACACTGTCTTCTGAAGATCCAGTTTAAGACAGGCGAAACACAGTGAATTCGATTCGCAGACTTCATCCGTCGACCACGCTTTCTACCGATCGGTAACAATGGGAGGACTCGGACGGGGAGCTAGAGAGCTAAACGTCAAGAACGACAGTCTTGCGCAGCTAGACATCGAGTGTTGCCGGATCCGGCGCGGCGTCGCCGAGAATCCGCCGACTCACCTCCTGTCTGACGTCGCATTCCAGTTCGTGGTAATTCATCTTGATTTCGAACTCCATCGAGTTGCTGACATCGGTTACGCAGGAATTGGGTTTCGACTTCGAATAGAGTTTTCCGTTGAACATTTTCGTTGATTTCACCCTGGCGACCATCTCCCGGGAAAGGCATTCGATGGTGACTGCAATAGAAGCGTCAATTAGAATAATGTCTACCAATGGAAGATAATTGTGGTCTCTCTCGGTTCTAAGTCGTAGTAGTCGTCGTCTTCATCGCCGTGGTGGTGGTCGACGTCAAAGGACTTCGTTTATGCTTCTTTTATGACGACAGAGGTGATATTCGCTGTCAGCCGTTCGTCAAACGTGCAAGAACCGAGATCGGAGCAGCGGCCTGGACTCCCCACAGCGAAGACAGTGACTTCTGTTTCAGAAGTTCTCATCATCCGAAACGTCATGGATGTGACTTTCAAGAACAAACAATTGTCGAACGATTTTAATTGTCGCGTGTCGCGTCGTGGAAGTGTCAAGGTGCGGCGGCGGCTTTTGTTCGACACAGAAGACAAGACGCCGATGCAGCCACCCTCGTATGCGTTCCTTCCGAATTGTTTCGAATCCAGCCACCTCGAGCTGAGAATTAAGTGAGCGACTAAATAATCTCAACAGTTCCCAAGCAATCACGAATTCGCCGACTGACAACAAGTGTCAGTCGCCCCGAATGCCGTTGTTCGCAAGCAGCCTCTATCCACCGACCTAAATCTTCTCTGACCGTCAAGTACTCCTCTTTTTTTCTTAATTGTGGTCAGCGCTGATAACTCCACCGGTTTTTGTCACATCCTCGAGACTTTCGCGAACGACGAGATACTGATGAGAAGCGGGTTTTCGTATGCGGAGAGATCGCTCGCGCGAACGAATCGCGGCAATTTTCCCTTTGATGCATAAATCGAGAGGGCGATAAAAGGTTCCTATATTCTATCAGAGACCACTCCGAAGTTCGGCAAACGCCTTGGACGAGCATTGAGACCGATAGCGATCCAACGCCACCACCTTCGTCTTCTCCTACGCGCAAGCTCCGTGCACCAGCGTCGACGACCATGTTAACGGTACAAGAAGGCAGGCTGGCCCAACTCGTTCGGTTCCTGCCGAGACGGGCGCTGGTCGACGCATCTGATTGGGAGTCGATGTTGGCATCGATTGATGAATTCAGAGAGGAGAAAAAGAGGAATAGTACAAAGAGAATTTCCAGAATGAAATGCAGTCACCTCAACAAAGGGGCCACACACTACAAATATTCGGAACGAGCCTCCGTCTGCTGGGGACACCACCACCACCGCCGCCGACAATGAGGTCCCCGATCGAGTCGGTACGTGACGTTCCGACACCCGAATTCCGAGGTATTCTCTTGGCCGACATGGTCGAATCCGAGAGCTCTTCGAAAGCTAGCCGCGCGGAGAGATTTCCGAACACTCTACTTCAACAGTAGAATCGAAAAAGACGAGTAGACTGCGGGAAGTCGAACATACCGTTGAAGCAAGATGCCAACTCGTAGGTAAGGGCGTCGGCGATCTTCAGGTAAGGATCTTGGATGTGGGTAAGCGAAGCTCTGGCGTAGTGGGAAACTCTGCACACAGGGTTGGCGGGATCTCCCATATCGTAGGTGTGGCAGCGGAAGTTGGCCGAGAGGCAGATCTTCTTGCATTCTTCTTCGGTCTTGACGTCCTGGTAAACGGCGTCGACAGTCTTCAGAATTTTGTTCTTGATTGTTTTGAACTCGCAGAGCCTTGCATCGTCTGGAAACAGCAGAGGAAACACAGATGCATAAGAGAGAGAGAAGGACAAATTTATGGGTTCCATAATAATCGACGAACACGATTGTAATAATTATCTTCCCCATTGACACGAAAAATTTCGATCGGGTCATTCTGTACCTCTCTGTCTACTTACCGACGACACAGTTGCTCTCGAGGTAATCGATGGTTCCGTTTGAGTCGGCTTGGAAGAGTTTCTTGTCCAACACGGTGTGTCGGTCCATGTCCGAAAGGCTGCACTGCCCGGTGGCCGCTTCATAGTTGACGGAACGGCAGAGGAAATCGGTTTCTTCGAAACACAGATCGATACACTGCTGACGATCTGCGGCGGTCTGAATCTTCTTGATTTCTGCCATGAGATAATGTCCCTTTACACGCTCGTAGTGCCATTCTCTGATGCAACCGGATCCTGGAAGAGAAAAAAAGTCGGCATGAGAAGAGGCCAATCAACACTGCAGGTCGCCCGTTCGAATCGACGGACCACCGACGCGACGCGGTGTCACTTCCGTGCACTCTGTTGGAATCGTTATCAAACCGGTCGGGGAGATGAAAGGAGACCGTATTTTAAAATTGATATCGTATGGAGTTTCTCGCCAAACAGAGTCTAACACGGAATGAAGAACGACTTTTTAAGCGAGCCGCAAGGCGTGGTCATAATTGTGTATATTGAACGAGAGAAAAAAAACGAAAAAAAAATTGGAATAAAAATAACGCGGGGAAGAATAGCCGAATTCATAGGGTACGGCTTTGTGGCGTCACGCTGGAAACCATGTCAGCTTCTGTATATCTGGAAGATCAGAACGAGGACAACGTCGAAATAATCTTCCTTTGGAGTTGCTGTGCGCTCGAACGCTGCTCATCTTTAGCGAGCGTACGTTGAGCTCTGGCGAGGGAGGACTCCGTATCGCAACTGAATGAATATTCCAACCCATGAGGGGAAAACTGTCTGGTGCGCAATCCTCATATCTAGAGCACAACCCCGGGATCCGCGGAGCGCGGCGTCAAATGTCAAATGTGAGGTTCGCGAACTCGACAACATTCACACAGCATACACTCACGCATAATTTCTTCACTTCGGTCGTCGAGTTGCTCCCGCCGTCGGGATCGCGTGCACTTACGCGCATGGTTTCCATGCAGTGAGCCGGGCTCAGTGCTCATGCTCAGCGTTTCGTGTTCGGACCGCTTTTAATAACAGTGAATCATTCACAATAGCGGTGTGATTTGATTGAAGCATGACTCGGCGCGCTGATCGTCCTCAGTGGCCCGGACCCGGGCTCTAGATCCAGAAACGGCAATGATTAGCTGTTGCCTGCTCGTCTGGCGGTGCTCGCCCGGCCAGAGGTAATTGTAATTCTGTGCCTTACATCATCACATTCCATAATTCACATCCGGCCGCTGATTCGCTCAGTGATTTCATTCCGAGCATGCAGCTCGGGAGGAAGATCTTTTTTTTGAAAGAAGCTCTTCACAGGCGATTCCAGGCAACGAATCTAGAAACACCTCGCGTGGGCGTCAGATGAACACTTCGACACAGAATCGGTCACGATCGCAGTGACTATCGCTCGGGATCGTCCCGCTAGGAAATATGGTCCGGGAAACGAGGGAATACGAATGCAGTCATCGAGACATGGAGTATCGAGGCCCGTATTCCCCATCCCGTTTCCACCGAATGTCTCGTTCGAGAAAAGTGTCAATGCCGATGCTTTTCGAAAGCCGGAACGCCGTTCGTCGGACAGCCGGCTCACGATCGCGTTGAGAAGATGTGATCAGAAATATTCCAGGAGCATCAGGCCGAGCGTATTCCGCAAATTCCGTGTAACGTCCAGTCATGGGTCGCAGCTACGTTGCTTCTTTCGTCCGTTCGTCTGCTCGCTCGTCCATCGGTCTATCGCGCCGCTCATCCGTTCGCTCTCGCGTCCATCCATCCTTGCGTCCGATCGGGTAAGAATCAATCGTTCATGCAACGTTTCTTTTTCTCGGACAGGTCTTTATCTACTTCTTCGTCGTTGTCGTCATCGTTGCCCGATCTTCGTTGTCGTTGTCGTCTTCACTTTTTTCTTTTTCGATTTTTTTTCCGTTTCTCCACATCGGTCGGTCCGTCTTGCCCACCGCGTCCAGCGGCGTGTTCCAGTCTTCGCCGGTGTTCTCGTCTTCGTTAAGTCGACTGATCGGCTCGTTGACGGGCTGACTGAGTAACTTATCCTTCAGGGAAGCTTTCAGCATGAAAACAAGTTTTCCAGGCGGAATCCGCCGAAGCAGGCGAACAGCAGCAACGAAAGCACCGAGCGAAGAGCGAGGATGGCGAATCAAAGACGCATCTCGTTCCGTGAATAAAGTCATTCCCTAATTGGGACGGACGATGATACATGCCGCTGCGGGGTGGCCTACCGGCGAGCAGGTGGGCGTGCAGGCAGGCAGGCAGGCAAGCAGCAAGACATTAAGTGGCCGGCTAGAGAATCAGGTTCAACAAAAGGGAGTCAAATGAGTCGACGGAAAAATGTGCTCGTTGCTCTGTCTTCGAATGTTGCTCATTGGGAATTCAACGAATGGACAAACGGAGGAACTAAAGCACCGACTGCCCGGCATAGACCAACAGAATACCAGTCGGGTGGACTACCGGCCGACCGTGGCCGCCAAGCCGTCGGCTCGTTATTTGGCCGCATGGGAGGGAGAGAAAAAAGAAAAAAACAACACAACTCTCATTCAGATCGCGTCTGACCGTAGATCCCTCGGTTGCTCGGTCGGTCGGACCGACGGCCGGTTCGACGGTCAGCTGTTCCCGCCGCTGTGCATTTGAGGGGAAGAAAACTGTGTCAACTTTTATCTGCGGCAAAGTATCAGACAATGAAAGATGAGCTTCTCAGATCGCTCCTAATTTGTCCGGCGGTCCTCCCCTCAGTAGCTATCCATGTATCCGTCCATTCATCATCCATCCATCCACCGGTCCCTTCGTCGGCCCGACCGGTCGTCAGACGCTTGCTTGACTGGATCAGTGGTCCGAGGGCAGGTCCGACTGAGAATTTTGTGAACTCGTTCCTGGCGCTCGCGCTTGTTCCTTCATCATCTTCAATCAAGGCTTCTCCGTTGATGTCTTTGATGTTCCTTCTGCTGTCGATTTGGTGGTGTAGTGGCGGTGTTGTCTGCGGACTCCCATGCTTCGAGAATGACGGACGAGTTCTCAAAGTTCGCTTCTCAAACGAACGCTTGATCCGTCGGTCCCGAGACGCTACTCGTAATAATTATGTTTCGTTCTACGTAATAGAAAACATTAGCTAACGATTTTTTCTTTCTTCCAACGCTCGCGCTCAGTCATTCGACGCTCGTAATTTCGCCCACTTGAATTACGAGTCCGCACTCTCGGCTTGCCCACTCAGACGGTCGTCTTTCAGTGCAATCAATATCTCGCGTCGCCGGTCCATCACTCGAGCTACTGATGAATCGATCCGAGCACTCACTCATCCATCAATCAGAACTCGAAGATCGATCTCGAGATAATGACCTAGACCATTGATCGATCCGTGCGGATTGAGCGGCCTGCCAACGATCGACTCCAAGGACTCGAGAATGAATTCTCCCGGAATATTATCCGGAGCGAATTATTAGAACCCGATCGTGGGACCTGTTCCATATCTCCTCAAGTCCAAGATGCGGACACACGTCTTTTTCCATTCAGAAGCCCTTCCGCCGTCGACAGCTGCCATGCTCGGGGTGAGTCTCGCGGACCCACACCTACGTGCTAAGTATCTCTTGCGTATTTCTGGAGTCCCGTGTCGCCCGGCTGAGCCAGAGCTTTTGCTGAGAGTTGGACCCCAGAAGCACAAATGGAAACTTCGTCTGATTCCGTTCCATCCGTCTTATTCTCTTCGCCCATCTTCAACGAATCCAGCTTCCGTCGTTGTCGTCGCTGCGGGAGCGCCGAGGTGTCGTTCAAAACATTCCGAACCACCCCGGGGGCTCTCACTAATCGATGGTCTGGCGGCGTCAACAGACCGGCTTGACCGTTAGCCGAAGAAGACGTGGATTCCGCCCTCTTACGGTAACAATTGTAGCAGCGATATTCTTCTGCCGCATCCTCTCTTTCGGGCGTTCGCGGGAAGATGGGGAACAGCGATGGCGAGCGACTGACAACGATCGCGTTGCCTACCGAAAGTCGGACCGCTTTTCCAGCGGATGATTGACTCGAATGCTGATGGCGACAAAGCCGTCGACCACGAACACACTGATGAAAACAACAAGCGCATACAACAATCCGAACGGGAGACGGAACGAGAGAGAAGAAAAACGCGACCGTAAGTGAAAGAAGCTACAAATCTCTGGAAAGCCACGGAACGGCCACTTCCAGAACGCCTCCATGAATACCTTTCGATCGATTAAAGTTGCCAGCCGGCGAGCGATCGCTTGGCCGGTCGATCCTTCGGAATTCGCTCGCTCTACGTCGCTACGCTCGCTGGTCTCCTTGCTCGCAGGAAATCGGTCAGCGGTCAACGCATGATCAACGTTGCCATCTTCTTTTTGTGATTGAAAAACTTTTCCGGAGCCGAAAACAGCCCAACAAGGATTGCGACCCAACAATTGATACCGTAATAAAGACTTCGGCGTGATCAGTGTCGAACCACAGTGATTGGTGCTGCGACCGCGACAGATCATCTGTCGGGTGGCAGCACTGACCGATTTCCGACGACCGACGGAACGAAAGCAAGTGCTTCTGGAAGACACATGGGGCTCGGAATATGTCTGCTGCCCGGCCGGCCGGCTTCAGTGAATACCCTTCAGCGGTCAAGTGTTGTTGATATTATTAGCGCTTTCCCGGAGCAAGGCAAACGGCCCCGGATCGTCCGTGGAAAACCAACACGGAGCCATCGGAATCGCAAGACGAATGAAAAATGGAATCAGACGGAAAGAACTGAATCGCGAGCAGCCACCCAACCCGACGGATCTGTACAACCGCGGCACAAAGCACAGTGATCGTCTCAGCGTTTTAGCGATTTTTTTCTGTTTCCATGACACGCCACCATAATTTGACCATGTTCTCTGGTCCTCGCCTTCCGCGGTTGCAGTCGCGTGCGGTGAAAGGATAGGGTTTCTTTCCAGGGCTGGCAAATACGCTTCTTGGAAATTATACTGCATGCATCATTTTTCAAAAGTTACTCCGGCCCGGCACTGGAGACACGGAGCTACCTCGTTTGTTCAACTTCTCGCTCTCTCCATTTGATTTTCTAATTCCGGGGACCTCTCGCTCTAACTCAGCTCCATGGCCCGCAATCTAACGTTGTGTTCCTCTAGATTCTTTCGCTTCTCGAAACCTCACGAGAGCTGCGCATCATCTCTTGTGGACGACGACGCACGGGCAGAAAATTTAAAACGATTAAGCATCTAATGTCGATTTCGTGGTCAGAAATAAACGTCAGC